AACCACGCTGCTTCACACTTCCAGCCCACCGACTAACTACCAAGCAGCAGTCATGAGTACGAACGTTGTGCACCGCCGGATGGGCTTGCGCTTGAGGTCGATGCACGCTTTCGCGCCTTTGCCTGTTTCTGCTCCTCTTCAAGTCGACGTGCAGCCTCTCTGTGACAATCAACATGAAAGGAGGTGAGCATGCGTGTGCTCGGGTGCGTGTGTACGTGACAGCGACAGTGCACACGCGCTCTTCAAGCACGATCCTTGCATAGAGGGTAAAGCTGAACCCTGGACGCATACACCTACACACACACACACACGCATACACGCACACACGCACCCGAGCACACGCGCACCCACACCTGCACACACACACGACACAAACAATGACGTCTTGTTTGGGGCGGTCGCTCACCTTCTGTCAAGCATCACCTCTCTGTTCTCCTCATTGTAAGGATACAGATCCTTCTCCGGCTGCCACCGGTTGTTGCTGCTTGGGCACCATTCGTGCATGCGCGCGTGTGTGCATGCGCCTCGTGTAAGCGGTGAAGAGTATAACTGGATCAAGCAAGAACGAAAGCCGCAACTCCATTCAACAATGAGCATCGTGTCACATGGGCTCACCGCTTGCCAAATCCAAAGTACTTGAGGTAATACTGTGGGATGCCGTCCTTCATCCTGCGCTTCACGCACTGATGAAAGGAACAGGGGAGACATCGCGAGTGAGGTTGAGGGAGTGAGCGTGGCCATGAGCCGTCATCACACACACGCGCGCACGCACACACAAACAAAAGCACACACACACAGCATGCGTGCGCACACAAGCACACAAGCACACGCACGCACACACGCACACGCACGCGCACACACACACGCACACGCACGCGCACACGCACACGCACGCGCACACGCACACGCACACGCACACGCACACGCACACGCACACGCGCGCACGCTCTGAGCCACCCTTTTCCTTTCCCCTCCCCCTTCCACACCGCACAACATACCTTGGCTTCGTAGAGGTGTCCGCCATACTCGGCAAACACTTTGTCGTTGATCTCGTAAGCAAAGCTCATGGCGCTCGGTTGCTTCACTGACTTTGCTTCAAGCTTCCCGCCAAACGCCTGTGACGTGTCTGTGTGAGGAGGAAAATTGAAAGCGAGTCAAGCAGTGCTGTGACGTGAAGTGTATGTCACACACGGTTCACTCATCCCACTCTTGCCATGGTGAGTAGAGGGGGCTTTGATCATGCCATGCCACCTGTCATCCACACACACTCCATCAAGCGTTCCACGCGCGCCCACACATCATGTCTCACAACCAGCCAGTCACGCAGTCCGCTCTTGTGTACCCGACACGATGTTCTGTAGTGGGAGGCGCCAACAGCAAAAATAATATATCCTTGCTTGCTTGTGGTGCGGTTGGCACGAGCTTATTGGCCAATTTGGAAACAACTTTCGCTCTGCACGAGCGCGTGGTGACGTCATCAAGGCGAAAGCGCGGGAATTAGAAGTCCAAACAGAAAAAAAAAAACGTACGCAAGCTTAAAGGAGCAGAACCCACACAACTGCACCCACTCGGGAGCAACAACAACAACAACATACAACAGCAACAACAGCAAGCAAGGGTGCACGCGCGGCGCGGCGGACTTCACGCTGGTTCGTGTCAAATTTTGTTTCGAGAACAGCAGAACAACAACAACACAAACAAAAACAAAGCCGCCTTCGCCTGGCTTGCTTCCCACACCTTATTCCTCGCGCTGTTCACTGATTTTCATCGCTGCTGTCTCCCCATCCAAAAAACAACCTGCACTCTTGTTGTTGCTGATTTTGCTGCTGCTGTTGGTGGGGTGTTGTTGTTGGTGCCGCCCTCAACGCGATTGGCTTCATTTTCCCTTCACCGTCTGCTTTCTGCCGTTGCTGCTGCTTCCCCTTCTCGCTCCTTGAACAAAAGCGATGACGATGACAGCAGCCACCGAGCTGCTGCTGACACTGCTCGTCCTGTGTGGCTCAGTGGCGGTAGCGAATGCACAAGGTGGGCCAACCCTTTGTTCACACGTTCACTCTGCCGCGGTCGGTGTGCGCTTGTTCTCTCTCGTGAGCCCCCAGGCGCTCCGACACGCTCATGCTGATTGCGCTTTTAACTCGCCTGTAACAGTGTTGCTGCCAAGCCCCGCAGTAGATGTTCAGTCGCTTGACCAGGACATTGCAAGTTTCGATGCTGTCCAGCAGATTGCCAGACGTACGGAACAGCAAGCGTTGGTGGTTCATGTGTGTATGTGTGTGTATGTGTATGTGTGTGTGTGTGTATGTGCGTGTATGTGCGTGCGTGTATGTGTGTATGTATGTGCGTGTGAGCGTACTTGTGTGTCTGTGTTTGTGTATGTGTTTGTGTATGTGTATGTACGTGTGTGTCTGTGCATGTGCGTGTGTGTATGTGTGTCATGTTACTTACTCTGCTGCCTGTCAAGGGGGCTTGCCCACACTGAACGCTATCACCACCTGGCATGATGCCACAGTCCCGACTCACATGTACACCATCATGCTCACAGGTTCAGCAACAAGCCTGGTCGATCCGTACAACCGCGATGAAGTGATTGCGCTCTACAAGACGGAGTTCAAGGACACACCGGTCCCAGGTCTTGGGTGGACTGGCGACGTCCGGGAGTGTGAGGCCGGCACCACCTCACTCCAGCACCAACAGGCCGTCGTCAACCGCATCAACTTTTACCGCGAGCTGGTGTGTTGAGCCTCACGTTCGTTCGGAGGTGCTCTCGTGCTTGCGCGTGTGACGCCCTTGATCCGCATCTCATTGCCTAGCTCATTTTGCTGGCCACTTTCATGCCAAACAAGCCATCTTACCCACTCACCCCTGATGTATTCACACCTGACACCGCCTAGGCTGGCCTCTTCCCACTTAGTCTGCGCGAGGACCTCAGCGTGTACCCGCAAGCAGCGGCCCTAATGTTCAGCGCAGAAGGCCGCACCGCCCACTACAACACCGAGGGCTTTGCCTGCCATTCACCAGAGGCCGGTGAGGCAGCAGCGTGGTCCAACATCGCCATTGGCATTGGTGGCGTGGCAGCAGTGGATGCGTTCATGGACGACTACGGCGCGATCAACACCGGCGTTGGCCACCGCCGCTGGTTCCTCTCGCCGCGCCTCCACGGTGTTGCTGTTGGTGATGTCCCCGAGAATGGCGCGCACATGGCAAGCAACGCCATCTTCTTCAAGCACATGCTTGGCCCAGCCAGCAGCACGCGCGAGTTTGTTGCCTGGCCTTCCCCAGGCTTCTTCCCCAAGCAGGTGCTCCCGACATCTCGCCGATGGTCCATCACCATCCCCTTTGCAGACTTTTCTTCCACCACCGTGTCTGTCCATCGGGATGGGGTGCGTCTGGCCATCAAGCAGCTGCCGCTCCAGCCGCTGCTTGACCCTGCGCTCGTCTGGGAGATGCCACAGGATGACGTGCTGAGCACAGCTGACGACGTCACGTACACCGTCTCTGTCCGCGGTTTCACCGTTCCAGGCAGGCCCGGCTTCACCCGCGTTGACTATTACACCGTCGTCGTTTCATTGCCAGCAGGTGAGCTGCATGCTTGTGTTGTGTTGTGTTGTGTTGTGCTGTGCTGTGTGTGTGTGTGTGTGTGTGTGCGTGTGCGTGTGTGTGTGTGCGTGTGTCAAGTGTGAAATCGCAAACCCCTGTCTGTTTGCAATTGACGTGACGAGCTCATCACGACCAACTACATACACCATGTACCAGATGTGTGTGACACGCCAGTCATTAGCGGTGCCACCGGCTTTGCTGCTCGTATCAACGGCGAGTACACCCGCACGAGCACATTCCAGGACTACCCCGTCTACTCCAACGGTGACATGCTCGCCTACTCCGACGGTCTTGGCTGGTACTTTGGCCCAGTCATCAGAGGTAACCACTCGTGTCGTATGAGTGTCTGTATGTGTGCGTGGTGTGTTGGTTGGTCATTTAATTTACTGGTGTGCATGTGCGTGTGTACGTGTGTGAGGACATGGCATTGAATGTGGTTTGCTTCTGTGCCTGTGCATGCGTGCGTGTTTGCTTGTGCGTGTTTGATTGAGCCCAGATGCTGTCGACAGGTGTCTCACGTTGGCCTTGTGACTGCCTTGTTGATGCTCAGGCTCTGTGTACGCGTACGTGCGCAAGCAAGGTGCCACGCCCGTGTTGGTGGATGACGTCACAGGATCGGCGAAGGTCTACTCGCCAAGTGCTGGAGGCTATGTCTTGGACCGAGCAATTGTTGGACACTGTGCGACGGTTGATTCCACTACGACGACCACGACGACGACGACGACGACAAGTACCACTCCGCCTACAACCACAACCACAACCACAACCACAACAACCACAACAACCACAACCACAACAACTACGACAACCACGACAACCACAACCACAACCACAACTGGCACAACCACGACAACCACAACGACCACAACAACAACTACTACTACCACCACGGCCACCATTGCCACGACCACGACCACGACCACGACGACCTCATCTTCCGAAGAGATGACGTCAACACAGCCGGAGACAAGCACAAGCACAGTGGTCACCTCGTCCTCACAAGGGTGCGGTGGCCTGCCTTCCCTCATGTCACGCTGGACATGCAAGCAGCATTGCGGCGCGATAGGCCTTGACTGGACGCATCACCCTCGCTTCAAGGGCTGCACCGGGGTGAGTCTCGCTTGCCAGGGCAGGTGATTGCCTGTGTCTTCGTCTGACAACCTGCGTGCATGCAGGCATGCTAGCTCTTTCACCTGTCTGTTCCGCACTGCCTCCCGCCCGCTCACACACCCTTTGTCCCTTGCAACACGCCTCTCTACTCCCGCTTGTGGCAGGTGTGCCGCTGTGGCTGCGCCACGCAGTATGATGTCATGCCCAAACGACAGTGCAAGAAGCATTGCAGATCTCAAGGAAAACGCTTCTGGCACGGGTCTGTGGACGCCTGCAAGAAGGTGGGGATGATGCCTGCTGCGCTTGTGTGGTGCTGTTGAATGGGTGCTACTCCTTTTCGATGTGCCGACTGCTTGTGTCTCTCCCCTTCACGCCCTGCAGACTGACTCACGCTTGTGTGTGTTGCTCATTACCCTTTCTCAGGTGTGCAAGTGCATCTAATAATGATCGTCCGGACAACCTGGCAGAAAACCGCAAACCACTCCCGTTATTCCTTGCCACGAAAGTCTCCTGCTCGTGATCCCTTCCTGCCAGTTCAATAACAAGCACAACGATGGCAACACTGTTCTCAACCACACACGCACGCGCGCGCACTATTGTGCACCATTCGCCATTTTCCGGTTTCCATACGACCCAGTATCCTACTCAGTTGCGTCAAACAGTTGATGCGAACGGTCTTAGCTCCCTTTATTCCCCGTTCCCTTTGACTACACCTTGTTCCCCACCATGCGCCGTTGAGGCTGGTTCCTTCGACTCCATGAACGCGTGTTGCCATCCATCTATTCGTCTCCTTTGTCTGCATTGCCCACGGTTTTGAGTGCCTGGCACGGAGGCAAGCGCACCTCCCATCTCATCGCTTGCCCCCTCTCCCGGGCATGCAACATCTTCCTCCTCCGGTTTTATTGTTGGGCATGCTTCAGTCGCTGGCGCCCCTGTTGTGGTCACAACCACCTGTGGCTTGTTGATTTTCTTGCTTATTCTCCAAGGCTACACGCACCCGCCGCACCCCCCCCTCTCTCTCTTGCTGCTTTTCAAACGTAGTTCTCCCATCAAATTGACATTTCCGTCGAATACACGTTGATTGCAAACATACACGCATGTGTTGAAAACAGTGGCTGGCTGGTGGACCATTGTATGAGGTTGTGCTCAACGGAAAAGGGCAGCAGAACCCGACAAGCACTGCGAAAAACGAGACAGTGACACACAAGACACGAGACACGTAAGGAAGACAGGGTGCATACACAAAAAAGGACACACACACACACACACACACACACACACACACACAGCAAAGGAGAACAAGCATGGTAAAGTGTGGATTGTGACCACTGCACGCGAGGTGCGATGGACACAACAATGCGAGCGTTCACGGCAACACGGAGCACATGGAATCGATCAACGCGACATCTGCTGGGGCTGCTCGTATGTCCAGTCGATCGAATCGAGCTTTGCAAGGCACGCCGTGAAGCAGAAACGGTACTGCGCAGCCACCTGCACCAGGCCCATGCGTTGCTCCCGAAGTGCCTTGACAATCTCGCGCGCGTTTGGTAGTTTCTGTCATCGGGTGTGCGTGCAGCACAAGACACATACAAAGAGACGGCAACAAAGTCAGTGGGCCACAAAGCACGCGCTCGTGTGCATGCGCAACTGTGTGCGGTGTGTATGCGCAATTGTGTGCGGTGTGTGTGTGTGTGTGTGCGTGCATTTGCACGTAGGGTGAATAAGCAGGCCCTCCACAACAGCATCAACGCATACCCGCGTCAACCACAAACCAACCTTCTTTCGCAGCCTGTCCAGCATGACGAGGACAACAATGAGAACACCAGAGCGGCCAATGCCTGCAGAACAGTGCACGAGGATGTAGGGCGCATCCTCCGGGAGCTGGCTGCGAAGACGCTGAACACGGTCAACAAGGTCAAGGAACTTGTCTGGTGACTCTGGCACGCCGTGGTCAGGCCACCCCACGTACTGCACGTGCGTGATCTCGCGAACTTGCCCGTTGATGCGGTGGCGAACCTGCCACGTGCACGCAAAGGGGAGGGAAAGTTATAGTGAGCACCGGAAAGCCGAGGAAGCACAACAAGCTGCGACACGAGTCCAGGACACCCACCCACACCCACCCACACCCTCCCACACCCACACCCACACCCACACCCACCCACCCACACCCACCCACCCACACCCACACACACACCCACACCCACACCCACACCCACACACCCACCCACAGGGACAAACCTTGAGCTTCGTAGTGATAATCTCTGGATCGTACGGGTCATCGGGCGTGGAGGACACGTGGGTCACCTCCAACAAGGGCGTTGTCATGGTCTGGCCTGCGCCGGGTGGCCAGTATTGCGCGCACTTCTGCCGACCACCTTCAACCACCTGCGCCAGCATCACAATCACATGGACCCGCTGCTCCCAAAGCATTTGCCTGTAGGCAGGGCCGACAGACACCCGCAATTTGACAAAGACGGAGGTCAGTCAGGACCAAGGACATGTCGCATACATGCTAACATAAAGCACATACAAACACTTGAGACACACTTCCCACAGCACCCCAGGTGCAACACACACACGCACACACACGCACACACACGCACAAACACACACACACACACACGCACGCACGAAAATGCAGCACAGCACAGAGCAAGCGTCGTGTAAACACACCAGTGCTCGTTGACTGTGTTGGGTTTGGGACCCTGGCTGGCGATGAAGCGGAACGGCGTGGGCGTGCTTGGGAACGTGACGTAGTTGGCGTTGATGTAGTCGCTTCCAGAGCCATCATCACCGAGCCGCACACGCGTCTGATCGTACGCCAGGATGTCCAGGTACCTGTTCTTCTGGCGCTCCCTCTGCGAGTGGGTGAACGATCCAGTGGCAGATGTCTTTGGGATGGTCTGGAACTCCTCGATGGCGCCCTTCATGCCCTCATCAAGGAAGCGCTGCTGCTCGTCGCGGATGTTGCTGGCGTCGTGCGGCTCAAGCTCGCAGTCGTCGCAGTCAGCGGTTGGCGCCAAGTAGAACACAGACGCCTCTGGTGGGCACACGCGGACCTTGCGCGGGTCACACTGCAATAGACAACGGGGTAGGGTACAGCAGCAGGGTACAGCAGCAGATGTGATTACATATTGTGTGAGTGGGGGGCGGGGCGGTGGTTCGACGTAGGGAGTATCTAGCAAGCGTGTGCATACAGTCGGTCCACAACGCATGCATATGAAGTGCACACAACGCTTCAACAAAACACACAAACAAACACATGCACACAGACGCAGACACACAGACACACAGACACACACATGCACACACACCACACACAGACAGACACGCACGCACACACACGGACACACGGACACACGGACACACACACACACACAGACACACACAGACACACACACACAGACAGACAGACAGACAGACAGACACACACACACACACACACAGACAGACACACGCACGCACACGCACGCACACACACACCGCCACCACCACCACCACCACCAACAACAACAAACAAACAAAACACACTCACCAGAATGCCATGGTTGTCGTCGCAGTCAAAGTACCAGAACCCGCCCACTGTGCCGTTGTTTCGACCAATGGGGTCATCAAGCGCGACACCACAGCGGTAGCCGGGCTTGGTCGCGTGCTTTCCGTAGTACAGCAGCGTCCCCGGTCCATACCCTTTCACCAGCACGCGCATGCCAACGTTATGCGGCCCAATGGGCTCGCGCGCAATGGACACGTCGACCGTGCCGTCCTGTGGCGAGCGGGCCTGGTCAATGGCAACCTCCACGTTGCTGTCGCTGAAAGACACGGAGCCGCGGCGAAGACCCTTCTTGAACCTGCTCTCCTCAAGCGCTGCAGGCTCTTCGTAATCGTCACGCTGCTCGCGGTATTCGCCAAGCCCAAGCTCTTCGTTGCGGGGCGTGATGTCCTTTCCGCCCTTGCGACGGCGGCGGCGGTGTGTGATGAGCGCAAACCCAAGCAGCACCAGCGCAACAAGGGCAGCCAGCACGCCCACAACGGGCCCGACGACCGATTGTGCAGACGACGATGACTGCCGTGTCGTGCACAGGCGGTTCTCATAGATGCTCAGGGGCTCATACACCAACGCCTCGCCATCCAGACACTCCCGAATAGGCGAGCACACCACGTCTGAGGTCAGCGTGGCGTTTGTCTCCACGTACGTCAGCCCAAAGATGCACTCGTCCATGGACACGTTGTCGCACTTGCGGTTGCCGGTGAGCGTCGGTGCTGCAACCTCGTATGTCTCACCGAGCGTGCAGTTGGACACGGGAGAGCACTCACGGTCGCTTGTTGGTGTGGCTGACATGCTCTCGTACGTCTCACCCCACGTGCAGTTTCGCAGGTAGTCGCACTCGCGGTTGCTGGTGGGTGTCGCCTCCAGCGTGATGTACTCTGTGCTCGTGCACACACGCAGCGGCGAGCACGAGCGGTCTGTCGTTGCCGTCGCAGGCGTGTCGATCCACTGCATTGCAAGGTCACACGGGCTCAGGCCAACGCAAACCCGGTTGGAGGACAGGGTGGGCGCGGTTGCCTCGTACTGCAAGCTGCCGCACGGAGCAGCAACAAGCGAGCACTGGCGGTCGCTGGTGGGCGTGGGCGCAACGCTCTCGTACTCCACGCCCAGGGGTCCGCACGCGGGTGTGTACTGGTCGCAGAGCCGGTTGCTCGTGCGTGTTGGCGACGCGGTTTCGAAAAAGCCGGGGTCACACGGCAGCACGGGCAGACAAACCCTGTCTGTGGTGGCTGTTGGCGCGGATGCTTCAAACTCCACGCCCACCGCCTCACACACGTCGTTCAGCATGCACCTGCGGTCAGACGTGGCTGTGGGCGCGACCGTCTCGTGAGACGTTGCGTTGCACACCTCGGTGTCCAGGCACACCCGGTCGGATGTGGGCGTGGCCGGGACGTCAATGTACTGCGCAAAGTCTTGCAGGTTGCAGGGCGCGAGCGTGGCGCACACGCGGTTGCTTGTCGCTGTGGCATTCAAGACCTGATACTCCTCGTCCGTGCACACGCGCGTCTCGTTGCACACCCGGTTTGTCGTGGGCGTGGGCGCCACGGCTTCAAACTCGTCAAGCGCACACGTGCGCAGCTCACGGCAGTCCCTGTTCACGTACAGCGTGAGCGGCCTGCGTTCGTACTCGCCGTCTTCACAGATGGTGGCGTTGGCGCACACGCGGTTGCTCGTCGCCGTCTCGTTGGCAGCAATGTACTGTGTGCTGACATCACACTGCGCCAGCGGCAGGCAGAGGCGGTCGCTTGTTGCTGTTGGCGCGCGTGCTTCGTATGTCTCGCCCGAGCACGGCAGCGACACGTTTGCGCACGTCACGTCGTTGGTGGGCGTGGCCTGTGCGGAGATGAACTGCCCCGGCGCGCACGTGGACACGTTCTTGCACACGGCATTGCTGGTCAGCGTCGCCGGCACATCGCGGTACTCGCGTGGGAAGTCGCATTGCGTAATGTTGCTGCACACCGTGTCCGAGCTCACAGTACATGGCGACGAAATCCACTGGTCTGAGCGGCACGAGGCGCATTCCGTGCAGATGGTGTCGCGTTCCAGCGTGCACTCTGCAACGAGCGTCGTGTTGCCTGGCGTGCACGGATTGCACGGCTCACACTCGCGGTCGGAGCGCGGCAGACACGGCAGCAGCTGATATTCGCCCGCGTTACACGGCGAGCACACGTCGCACTCGCGGTTGCTGGTCGGTGTTGGCGCCACCAACTCAAACATGTCTGACCCACACACCGTCAGGTTTGCGCAGATGCGGTCGCTTGTGATCGTGGGTGCAGCGGAGATGTACTGCGTGGCAAGGTCACACTTGCTGATGCGCTTGCATTGGCGATCCGAGGTGGGGGTGGGCGCTTCTGCCTCGTACATGCCAGGCGGACACATGGGGGCGTGGTCCTCGCACTCGCGATTGGATGACGGCGTCGGCGCCACCAGCTCATACTGGGTTGCGTTGCACACGGTCAGCTGCGAGCACGTGCGGTCGTTGATGGGCGATGGTGGCTGTGACTCGTACTGCGTTGTGAAGTTGCACGGGTCCGACACGGGCAGGCACATGCGGTCACTGAATGGCGATGCCGGGACGGCCTCGTACTCACGCAACGCAGCAACGCGGCGCGCACGCTCAAGGACAGCAACTGCATCATCGTTGTCAACAACGATAGAGGCGTCAGTATCGCGCCGTCGTCGCCTCTGGCCACCAGCATCCGTAGTTGTAGCTGTGCTGGTGGTGGTACTCGTCGTGGTTGTAGTTGTAGTCGTAGTTGTAGTGGTAGTGGTGGTGGTGGTGGTGGTGGTAGAAGTCGTGTCGCCACTGCCACTGTTGCCACTTGTGTCGAACATGGCTGTGCTGGTTGTGGTCGACGATGGGGTTGTGAGAGTTGTTGTGGGTGCCTCGAGCAGGAACCCACGAACAACCTTTGTCTGACCACCACCAACATCAAACGCGACCGCCAGTCCATCGACGAGGGCCTCGTCAAACGCCTGACGCACGCGATCGGCAACCGCACGCGTGCCGACGATGGTGGCGAGAATGGAGCCACTGCCGAGGTGCAAATCAGCAACCTCGCGCGGGTCAACACCATACGGCAGCAGCGCAATCACCACGGAAACCTGGGCCAGACGCGCGCGTGTGGTGTTGAAAGGGTCGCCCACGACATCTGCCAACGAAATGTTCCCAAACTCAATGGTCACCAGCTCCTGGTTGTCAAAGAAGTTACACGGCGTGACGTCTGTGCACACCCTGTCCGTAGTCGCTGTTGGTGGCGCCGACTGGTAGGTGAACAGGCCGTCACAGAGATCGGAGACTGCCTGGCAGATGCGGTTGGTGGTGTTGGTTGGCGCGGCCACTTGGTATTCCTCTGCCTCGCACGTGCGCACGCGCTCGCACACGCGGTTGCTGGTGGCTGTTGGCGCGCTTTGTTCAAACTGCTCAGGGAACATGCATGGTGGCGCAACGTCATCGCAGAACCGGTTGGACGTTGCAGTGGGCGCAATCATCTCATATTCGTCGCTCGTGCACATGGTCAGGTTACCACACTCGCGGTCGGTCGTTGGCGTGCCCGCAACAGAGATGTACTCGGTGGGCCCGCATGGCGTGTACTGTTCGCAGCGCCTGTCAGAGGTGTATGTCGCCTCAACAACGGTGTAGGCGTCATCGCCGCAGTTCTGCACCATCTGGCACATGCGGTTGGATGTGGGTGTGGGCAGTGCAACTTGAAAGTACGAGGTCGATGCACGGCGAAGGATGGCCCGGGCCAAGGAATAGTGGTCCACATAGTCTTCACCCCGACGACGGCGGCGGGCAGCTGTTGTAGTTGTTGTAGTAGTAGTTGTTGTTGTCGTTGTCGTTGTCGTTGTTGTTGTTGTTGTTGTTGTTGTTGTTGTTGTTGTTGTTGTGGTGGTGGTGGTGGTGGTGGTGGTGGTGGTGGTGGTAGAGGTGGTGGTCGTTGTTGTGGGAGCGGCAGTAGCTGCGGTGGCAACGGTGGCGGGCGTGGGGCCTTGCGTTGTTTGCTGCGGGTAGCCCGCACATGTGGTGTTGGACAGGCACGCCCCGTTCCGCACCTCGCAGTCCGCACGCATCATGCACACGTCAATCGCAATCAGGCGATCGCACGGAATGCCCTCAGACGCAACATAGCACACCCCCTGCGCATCATCAAACGCACACTCATCCTGCATCTCGCACGACTCCCGCACAAATATGTCAATGCACGGAACAGGCGCGTCGCTCGGATAACACCGCCCTGCCTCACCCACATACGTGCACCCAGGCTGCTGCCTGCAATCCTCGGGAAGGAAGATGGCAGAGCACTGCAGCCCCTCAGCCACATCGTAGCACGCCGCCAGCGTCTGGTTGTACGCGCACCCAGCAGCCGCACCGCACGATGTCGGGTCAAACAGCGCCGTGCAGTCAAGCCCATCCTCAACAGAGTAGCACAGGTTGCCCTCGGCAAACCACGCGCACCCGTCCACACCGTTGCACTCCTCCTCAAGTGGCGCCTCCGTGCACCTTGGTGTCCGGCACACGCTGCACTGGAAGTCAAACGTGCACCCGCCAGCGTTGATGCACTCTGCCTGGTCTGCAATGTCCGCGCACTCGCGGTTTGGCGATGGCGTTGACGTTGTTGGGCTGAACAGCGTCGTTGTGCTTGTGGTGGTGGTGGTGGTCGTCGTCGTCGTCGTCGTTGTGCTTGTGGTGGTTGTTGTTGACGAGGTTGAGTCGCCTGTGCGAGAGGTGGTCGTTGTGGTTGTTGAGGAAACGGAAAGTGGCGGCGTCGTTGTGCTGGTAGCGGTCGTGGTGGTCGTGGTAGTTGTCGTCGTCGTGGTTGTGGTGGTGGTAGAGGTGGTGGTCGTGGACGTCGTTGTCACTGGCGTGGGGATCGTGGGCGAGGTTGGAGCCTGCGTTGTTTGCTGCGGGTAGCCCGCACACGTGGTGTTGGACAGGCACGCCCCGTTCCGCACCTCGCAGTCCGCACGCATCATGCACACGTCAATCGCAATCAGGCGATCGCACGGAATGCCCTCAGACGCAACATAGCACACCCCCTGCGCATCATCAAACGCACACTCATCCTGCATCTCGCACGACTCCCGCACAAATATGTCAATGCACGGAACAGGCGCGTCGCTCGGATAACACCGCCCTGCCTCACCCACATACGTGCACCCAGGCTGCTGCCTGCAATCCTCGGGAAGGAAGATGGCAGAGCACTGCAGCCCCTCAGCCACATCGTAGCACGCCGCCAGCGTCTGGTTGTACGCGCACCCAGCAGCCGCACCGCACGATGTCGGGTCAAACAGCGCCGTGCAGTCAAGCCCATCCTCAACAGAGTAGCACAGGTTGCCCTCGGCAAACCACGCGCACCCGTCCACACCGTTGCACTCCTCCTCAAGTGGCACCTCCGTGCACCTCGGTGTCCGGCACACGCTGCACTGGAAGTCAAACGTGCACCCGCCAGCGTTGATGCACTCCGCCTGGTCTGCAATGTCCGCGCACTCGCGGTTTGGCGATGGCGTTGACGTTGTTGGGCTGAACAGCGTTGTTGTGGTGGTGGTGGTGGTGGTGGTGGTGGTGGTGGTGGTAGAGGTGGTGGTCGTTGTTGTGGGAGCGGCAGTAGCTGCGGTGGCAACGGTGGCGGGCGTGGGGCCTTGCGTTGTTTGCTGCGGGTAGCCCGCACATGTGGTGTTGGACAGGCACGCCCCGTTCCGCACCTCGCAGTCCGCACGCATCATGCACACGTCAATCGCAATCAGGCGATCGCACGGAATGCCCTCAGACGCAACATAGCACACCCCCTGCGCATCATCAAACGCACACTCATCCTGCATCTCGCACGACTCCCGCACAAATATGTCAATGCACGGAACAGGCGCGTCGCTCGGATAACACCGCCCTGCCTCACCCACATACGTGCACCCAGGCTGCTGCCTGCAATCCTCGGGAAGGAAGATGGCAGAGCACTGCAGCCCCTCAGCCACATCGTAGCACGCCGCCAGCGTCTGGTTGTACGCGCACCCAGCAGCCGCACCGCACGATGTCGGGTCAAACAGCGCCGTGCAGTCAAGCCCATCCTCAACAGAGTAGCACAGGTTGCCCTCGGCAAACCACGCGCACCCGTCCACACCGTTGCACTCCTCCTCAAGTGGCGCCTCCGTGCACCTTGGGGTCCGGGACACGCTGCACTGGAAGTCAAACGTGCACCCGCCAGCGTTGATGCACTCTGCCTGGGCCTGGCAATGTCCGCGCACCTCGCGGTTTGGCGGATGGGCGTTGACGTTTGTTGGGGCTGAAAAAGCGGCGTTGTGCTTGTGGGGGTGGGGGGGGGGCGGGCGGCCGTCGGCCCCCCGCCTTGTTTTTTGGTGGATTGTTGTTGTCAAGGTTTATATTCGCCCTGTTCCCAAAAGAAAGTTGCTTTTTGGTTTTTTTTAGAAAGAAAAAAAAAGAGGGCGGTCTTTTTGGTGTTGACCGGTGCGCGGGGGGTGGGCGGGAGAAAGTCG